AAGCTTTGTTTTTGGTAACATAATTGCATGATTCTGAGTCAGAAATTTGGGTACTGCAAGAACTTCTTTCGACTTTCTAGGTACTGTAATTCATTTACTTCGACCTTCGCTTTCTTCAATGGAAATATCAATCATGATACATATTGAATCATTCAATCCATTATACCCTGCATGGAAAACTGTCGGCCGAGAAATTAATGTCAATCAACTACTCTACTCACTACTGTAACATCGTATTCCATCATGATGAATGACTGACAGAACGTGTGACAATAGTTCGTGAGGTTCCAAATTCCCTGACGTGGATTTTCTTCTGCTGCCTGAAGCGTTTATCCAATTACCCCCAGTCCTGTTGACTGACGGTTCGCTTTTCCCGCGAGCCGCAAGATAAACATGGAACCCGGGGGAACCGACCAATGATATGTTTCCACGTCTCATTGCTTTGTCAACAACTCTGCTTAATGAGGCTGTGCTAATTCCCATCACCCGAAATGTTGGTTTTGTCACGTATTAGCGGAAAATTTCGAAAACCCGAAGGCTAATACTCATTGAGAAACCTGTTGAGTTTGGATTCGCGGATACATTATAGTTGACCCAGTTTCCGTGATTCCTCAATGCGACATTCGCACTCTCGACCCAGTTGCTGTTCGTTCACCTAAAAAGCGCAGCAGTCAATACCCGACGGCCTTTACTAATTGCAGGATCACGTCGAGATGTGATTCACTCGAATCAATGTTTCTAAATATTGTATTTCAGCCTTTAGAAAATGAAAATACCTCTGATACAGTACAGTATATGTTTTCCGTGAAAATCTGCTTGTGAAAAAGGAGATGAATTATAGCGAAAGTTGACGCAGGGATTCCGAGTTCAAGAGGCCGTGCCTCCGCGAAGAACAACGGCATGTCAGTTATCTGAACGATTTCCTTGTGGTTTACGACCCTGTGTCAAGTAATTCTGCGACTCCGGCGCGGAAAAGAAAGAAATCTCTTGAATGGGTGAACGCCGCATGGGGGTCCCGAAAACTCGGCCAAGGATAAAGTTAGCTTGTCGAGGCTCCCCAGAAACCTCCGAGTCACCCGTTATTATCCTTCTCAGCAAAACCGAGTATCCAATGACCGATACTGCTGCGAAACCCTCATTATGCTTAATAGTCCAGATATTGACGTAAAACTATGATGATTAATAGTACAAGGTTAGTATAGGAAAGTGGAGCAGGGGTATCTCCGAAACGAGCTGAGTCTTCAGCTGGAGAAAATTTATCAAAATTCCATTACATAAAAAAAAACAGTTTTCAGTCTCTTTTTATTTGTAGAGAGGGCGGGAATGGTACCCAGAATCTGAATTCTACCGTAATTTTACATTGTTTGAAAATCTCCACGCCATTCTAATCAAAAAGCTGCAGTGTGAGGAGTTCTTGAAGCATTTCTCAGACAATCTTGAAATAAGAACATGAGTCTGAAGTCGAAGCAATCGAAAAGTGGAATCCGGATAACCCTCATGCGAATCGCTTAAAAAGCACGCGTATCTAGGAAAATATTTGTGGGAGCTCTTCAAACTCATAAAAAAAACACACGGCAACTTTGTCTCCGGAGATATATTTTCTCGAATGTGTGCGGGCTCTCAATATCAAGGCAAATAACTGTGCTGCCTAGCTGCCATGCAATTTGATATGATGAAATAGAAAATTGAAATGACAACGCTTTTCCATAAGTGTAGCCCGAAGCACTTGGGAAATATTGCTGCTTAAAAAGCTATTTTTCTGGCCTACCGAATTGATTCCTGGAAAATCGCCGAAGTAGGCAATCCTCTCTTCAAGTTTTCAAGGTTTTAATTTCCAGGTCACCCACATTTTTTGCGCCATCCTTTTAAAACAGAGGAAAGTATTTTCTTAGAATTTTCAATCTTAGGTTCTTGTGATAGGTTGCTCCTTTTTAACTATCAAAAATCAATCCATTGCACTTTCAGACATTGTTTTGCATATGATAGACGGTAGTAAAAGTATAAAAAAAAAATCAGAAGCATTATTTGAGTGAACCCCTCATAATCTTCAAGCATAAAGTTTAAAATATTGTCAGTGTTTAAAGTTTGAATTTTGTAAATTGCGACATCCTGTCTGAATGATTGATTTGATTCCGGATATATGGGATCGAACGCATGGTTCCGCAAAATCAGAATTTTTATGAGGAAATAAACACTGCATTCAATGTCAAGTGCAATTATACTACCACAAATGTTTGAAGGGTTTGCCTCTGCAAACCCCGATATCGTAGCCTGACGAAGCAGTTTTTACTGAAATAGTGTCACGTATTATCTGTTGAATGAAGAAGAAATCTCAGATTAGGTTTCATCAAGCTGCCGAGTTAATCTGGTTAATCAAGTTCTATTATTTCGTTGATAAGAACCGAATTACTTGATTGAAGCACTTTGGTTCAACCTTGCAGGAAATTTATTTTCGCTGTAAATCGTTACCTAAGCTCTGGGAAAAAGTGCTGGTATATGTCTGTTACTTATTAGGAATCGTGAATGCCAGATAAGCAGGAGGACAATGCAAAAGCGTGTACGATTTCATTATAAACACATTTAAAGCTTGCGTTGACAGATAAGGCAGGTGTATAAAGCTTTAGCGTTACCTCGATGTATGTCTGTATAGACGAGCAGCAAACAAATGAACGAACTATGAATGGGTGGTCCGAGGAGCAATTGCTCGGCCGGGTCCGAATGATAGCATGCGTGGCCACGGCGAAGTGGGTTGCATAATTTTGCAGACTGGCGCAGAAAGGAGAGATATGGCGAGTGAGGAAAGGAAAAAGAGGTGCCGCACTGCGTGTGACACAAACCGCAGGATGAAGGAAAGAAATTGCTCCATTTTACGCGAGCCGAGAATTCCTCGTGTCGACGATAACACGTTTCAAGAGCTCTTATTAGAATCGTGCGAATTTCCCGCGTACCGGCTTATCATGCGGCGCCGTTCCGGCGCCTCTTGGTTACTCTCGAGTCGACAAACATACCCCAGCGTACTCCGCGTGAACCAGTGTCTAGGCCGGAATGCCGCCACACTTGAAATCCACTGAAAATCCGGCGGAGATGTTGTAAGCATGAAACGACTGCAGGATTTATTCTCCCGTCGAGTTTCCAGGTCGAGTATCTTTCGATCGAATTCCGAGGAAGAACTTTCGCAAGCTTCCACGCCGAAACTTCTTCGGAGAATGTAACTTACTTCAAACGGCCGAAATCATTCTGGCGCATCTTTTCGTCTGAAGAGGAGGAATTTTCACCGTTTTTTTCCTGCTTTTTCTGGATCTAAATTTTGCTGGAAAATTTCCAAAAAAAAAGAAAAAAAAGAAAACGGAATGCTCCAAAATGAATATAAAGTACAGTGCAGCATATATCCAGGATCGTTGAGATCTCTATTTTTTTTATTACTTGAAATACATTTCATCAGATACCCAAGCTTCTGATTCAGAATCCCGTAAATTACTAACAGAAATAAACAATAAAGTACTCTAACCAAGTATTCTTTCATTTACCAAAAATTTTGTTTACTGTACATTGCATCCAGCATGTTTTTGCTCATAAATTGACGTGCTAAGTTCACCTTCACTCTCAGCATCATAAACGTGGAAATGCCTGAGATAAATGTACGGAATCTCATTTATGCATGATTATTAGATTAGAGCCATTGTCGTCGAAACAATTTTTGACGATGTGAAATTTTTTGTAGCACCTGGATTATACCTGCCAATGAATAAACAAGGAAACCATTTGGCAGGTAAATATTCTTTCCTAGCAGACGTGAGGAACATTATCAATTTTTTATATTCTGTCTTCATTCCAAAGTTAGCGAAAAAATTGAAGCAGTGGTCATGAAATTACCAAGCATTAATCTTAATTTATACGAATAATTGTTCGTCTCACCCGATTGAATCAGATTCCATGGGAAGCACAGCACTGCTAACGAACGTTATGATCCGACGGTCGTATTCAGGACCTTTTGGTGTGCAATTTTAATGCAAGTTGATACTTCTGATTGATAATTGATGCAACTATATTCAGGAAGTTATTTTGCGTTATTTAAAAATCCACGGAAACGGGCACACAAATTTTTAAGATGCCAACTGTTCGTCCTTTTGTTATTCATCTCGCGCTAGAAGTTTCGTTCGATTGTTTTAAGCTTCAGTTTACGTGAGAGCTGATTCCGAGTTTCCGCAAAATTTCAGAATCGTGGGTTTCAGATCACGTCTTCCGTAAGGCACGTGGCTTCTTTTTTTAATTTTGGTTCAATTTAATAATGGGTTCTCGTGACATGAAAAACCAACAGTGGCTTGTTGAAATGAGCGCTTGCATTCGTCGTTGACCCAGTAAACTGACCCTGCACTACAGAACGTGCGCATAATTAGAAGAAACTTCCTCTGCAAATGGAGCATGCAATAAGCGCTCAGCTCTATTCGTACACCTTTGTCCAAGACAATCTTTTTCTCACAGTAATCATACACCCACCGAGTAACCATTGTAAGCGCAATGAACACAGCGTGAGAACCCCGCTGATGAAGTCGAACAAGGCATAGTGAAGTTGTTGCGTAACGTGAACAATCATAAACCACGCTTCGTCGTCGGCGAGGGTTTTTTTTCTTTTCCTTCGAAAATCGAACGACCATCTGCGGTCGACCACTCTTTCGCCGTTGAAATCACACAGACAGGATCTCCGCTAATAGCTTTGTGGTTCGCGAAATCAGCTCAAGTTTCTGCACAAAATATGCCTTCGAATGTCATCGATGTTATCGCGAGTTCTCCCAAAATGGCACTATACGAGTAAGTGCAATGCGCCGTTGGCCCGAATCGCGCGGCTAACGATGAGGTCATTATCTATTGAGATTAACCCGTTACGCAACTCTGATTAGGATGACATATGCAACTTCGCCTATACGCTAATGCCATTTATTTCGCCATGAAGGACCTTACTTTTTGAACAGCTTGTACTACTTTGAATGTGACCTTCACCGATGAACGCGGTGAATTCGCTGAACAAACTCGGCGAAACTGCTACTGCTACGAGCTGCCGATTGTCTGAAGTGAGCTTGCACTTTCAAGTAAGGTTGTTGATTACCGCTGCTGAGTCGTCATTTAGGCATTTTTGTTGGTATTTTTCGACCGTCTGAAATGACTGCCTCGAATTCAATAATCAGGACGCACGAACTATTTGTGAAAATGTAACACATTGACAAGAAACAACTTTGTAGACCAATGTTTAAGCTGAATAGAAACTCCTGAATGCATTAGACTTATTGAATTAAGCTACAGTAAAACGTTGAAAAATTGAAATACACGTGGGCTCTCTATAGTTAATACAACAAAAGGGACCAGGAAAATTCCTTGTAGAGAGATTTTCTTTGTGGAGAATCTTTACAACATGGGGAGAGAACCCTCTGGCGCGGGACCAACAATTCGTTCAACAGAAAAATTCGTTGTAGACAAAGTCCACCTGTAATTTATTCACCTTTCGAATGAAGCACAACTTTGTAATGGTGAATGCGATAGTGCGATTCGTATACGCAAATTTTAAAAATTGAAAATACTGTTCATCGCCGTTTCACTGGCACGAAAATTGCCAAGATCATAAGTCTTTTTTTCCTTCTTTCTTGGAACATATAGTTGTCAGATCTGGGACTTTTGTCACTAGTGAGATTTTAATGTGCTGTGAGTTGTTTTGTGACACTTACAGACTTCCAAATTTATAAAATATGGAGGTGTGACAAAGCAAATTTCTGTTTCCTTTGCGTATGCCTAAAACGAAAGCTGTCGTGTGCTTTTTTGTGAGAAATTCAAGGGATATATATGTGCGAAGGTTGTCCTGATTTTAGGCGCCATTGAATTACTCGCAAACGGCAAGTCGCTCAACAATCAGTTTGGAAGGACATATTCATGATTTTCAGAAAAAATTTTCTGGCAACTTGTTCGTCTGTTTTTTGAAATTCCGATGACTTTTCTATGCCGATTCCGAATGCTCTTGGTGAAGGAATTCTCAGAAGTTCTACATAATTTTGTTGATCTTCGAGTAAAAAATTTTTTAAACGGTAGAAACAGACATTCTGACCGAAAAATGTTCCATCGGGAGGTACTATACATAGTTTCAAATTTTTCGTTTTTTTCGCATATCTTATAAAAACGCATGAGTGGAAATTTGCGGGCTTCTCAGTAATCAAATAAAGCGTCCTTCAATTCCTTAATCCAACAAAGATAACTTCAAAGCGGGTTTCCTCTCGAGGGCGCAATAATGTGGTTGACGCACGAGCTGTTGTAAATCGTGTAGGGAATTTTAGTGATTACGGTTTCAGAAAATCGACACAAAGAAAAGATATGTTTCCTTGCAACGCCCGAGAAAATCGTGTTGTTGTTAATCCATCAAGCAACGTCAGCTCATTAGGATCGAGCGACGCGGTGAGGTCATACCGAAACTGATAACGAACAGATGACCGAGAGTATCGTAAACTGGGATTGCGCATGCTCGGATTTTTCACGGCATGACAGTTGATCATCAGGAACGAATTTCTCGATCGTGATTTTTTTTCCCGTCCGCAGGCCATTGCTCACGTCAGCGGCGGACACATCAACCCTGCCGTCAGCATCGGATTTTTCACTTGCCGAAGGATGACTTTGGTGAAAACTTTGCTGTACATTTTCGCGCAGTCCCTGGGCGCAATAACTGGATCAGCGATTCTGCAGGTACGTCAATCGCTTCGGTGCCTTTCATGGTCCTCGCAAAGTGCGTCATTCGGTAGCGAGGTTGCCTTGATAGCGGTACGCTCCAACTCCCCGCTGCAATCCGGGCTTCTGGAATAATCGCCTGACTCGCGAAACAAGACGTCGAGATTTAATAACGGCAATAAAACGATAAGGCGCAATTTTTACACAACTCAAATACACTGATTGAATCCTCACGGTAACTTGGGGTACTATATTGTCAGAGGTACTCTATCAGGGTGTTACGTGCATGGGCACCTGTCAGGTGGTGAGCGTTTCTAAGCATGTCATTATTCTAAGCAAAACTGAGGTTGACGCGCGGTTCAGAATTCTGAGCGAATTTTCTAGGCACAGAATTTTAGTTAGCTTTTCAATGAGTCTTGAATTGACCCGCAAAAAACTAGATCGAATGTGCTTGTTCCTTGAATAAATTAGGTAGAAGATGAACCAAAATATTTCTGAAATTTAGAAGGGCAATATATTCAGATGCCCCGATCTTACGTTATGTTCGGGAAGCGTAAATAAGATCTGAATCATCAGGAAATATGTAGAAAAAGGTTTTAAAAAATCCAGTAATACTGTACATGACTACCATTCAAATAAATTTTAAGAAGCCCGTTTCATTGAATAAAGCCTCCGTCGGCACTTATCCGCATTTGATATGACACAGTACTTGCTGCTGCTCAAAAGATGATTTATTTATGCGAAAATATGAGATGTGGTTCAATTTTTTTAACCTTTAGATAAAATGTGCTTTGTTTACCCAAAATTCATATTTATTTCCTAAGAATCTTCTTCAATCGAATTCCCGACTTGAACAAGTAAAGTCTTGCTTGCCGAAGGACAAACTCCAGTCAGTATAACTGAGACGAAGATTGCCAAGAAATATTCTGAGTACAGTATTATTATCTTATCATTGGATTTCAAACATCTTCATCAAAAAGATTTCTAAATTATTCAAAATACTGTAGTTTCTAGTATTTAGACTGCAGTACAGTACCCGCAAGTGTGACAGGGGAATCGCATTCCTTTCCACTCGTACATTAATGTAGGGCAACTTCATCTCCTATCCATTTCCAATTTATAAAGCAATGAATCCGAAATGACTGCAGAAAATGATCATATGTCATTACTCAGAGATAATTACTGTCGTTTTCATGCATTCGGCAATATGGCTAATGAGGGAAGCATGAGACTGACAAAATTCGAGAACCAACGCCCTTTTATACTTTCGTAGCCGAGGTATTTTTATCTCAAAATTTGATCGCGGTCCGTCGTTATCAAGCGGGCTTCCAATTGGTTTCAGTACTTGTATGCATTTTACTGATTCACGGTCAAAGTACAAAAGTCTGAAAAATTGACGAGGTGAACAATTAGAGGCTGGGGCCTTCGGCATTTTATAATAGCATGCTGTGCTCTGAAAACGGACGACGTCGTCAGCTGACGAATTACATTGTCAATGTCTCGTTGGGATATCTCGCGGGAGAATAAAAATACGAAAATTTTACTCGTTGGAGATGCATTCGGGGATGGTTTCAACAAAAGACGATTTTTCTCCAAGGCGTTAAGCGTGGAGTATTCAGACGGGATGCTCGGAGTGACCGTGCTGGCCACGCAGATTACGTCGGTGCAAGGACTCGCGATCGAGATCATCATCACTTTCATGCTCGTTTTCTTGATTGTGTCCACCACTGATGGAGGACGACAGGACGTTTCTGGTTCAGTGCCTCTCGCTATTGGGATCTACATCGTCGGCGCGGCTTTCGCAGCTGTAAGATATTTCCCTCGTCTATTCATCTAATGACAACGCTCTTTACTAATTGTGGGAGCACGGATGTCAAATTTAACCCTACTTTGAAACCAAAATAACGCCTATAATCTCTAAATTTGTGGATCGTAAGCGTGTTCAAGTAACTTTTATTGACGTAACGTGTGTCTAAAAGCGTTCCGAAAATTACCCAACAGCTAGCTGAAATTATCACCGAACATCGTATATCATGAGTGAAGTTTTACTTACCGTATACAATACTGCACTGTACGGTACGGCACTGTATAAGTCATACGCCTATAAGTTTACCCCGCGACGAAGACTGTTAGAAAGACTTGTTAGTGAAGAGAAACGAAGTGGCAACGCAAGGTGCATCACACAAGACTCAACGTGCGGGCTTAATATTCAATGTTATTTGTGAAAGTTTAATGGATATGTTTTCGAAAATTATAGCAAATTTTTAATACCGTAAATGTATAGTACAATATTTACATGTTCACTGCGTTCCCCTGTACCGGGCAACCAGATTTTACAAGTATATTTCCGAAAAACTTATTCGTGAACCAGCAGTTAAAACTCGTACAGGTGGACTCTCATCTACAATAAAATTCGAGGGACGAGAAAAATTTGTTGATAGAATTTCGTTGCAGAGAACCGCTATGTACCGTAATATGGGGAGAGTGAGAGGAACTAATTATTTTAAAATATTAAGCTATTGAAAATTATTTATTTGGAACGCTGTGTGAAAAAAATGTTCGCTATGCAGAGAAAATCGTTGTGGAAAAGATCGTTGTAGAGAGAGTCCCTCTAGTACTGTGGGACGCACAGCTGCATTTTTCCTGTCAATATCTTGCGGGAAAGGTGCGTTTGCTACACAAGCACAGAAGCGATCTGAGAAAGCTTGTATTTCTACAAGGAGTACAATACTGTACGTTACTGTGGAGCCTTGAGACCGCTGAAAAACTTGCAATAAATTGATTTTACAGGAACGAAAAGAAGATAAGCAATAAAATGGATAAAATACATGTATTCTCAATTTTGAGCAAAAACTTGGAAGGTTCACAAGAATAATAACTACACTGATGATAATCCCTCTTTATTTCACCAATAAAACATAATCTAATTCTAAACCATGCTTCAGGAAATATTGTATTCCCTAACTGTTCAACAATCGACTCAATGCATTGCTCGTCCACATTGTTGGATTCTTTGGGTTTTTTTTTTCAAAACGTACCTCACACTTTGGATAATAATACCAAGGGTAACGTTTCTCAAAATTATCACGGATCTTGCCCTTGTTTCGGTGAAACGTCGACATCCGTGTTCGACGCGGTTATGAGCTTAATGATCATTAATTATGTCACTTCCGCAGGGCCCATTAACCGGTGGGAGTATGAATCCGGCGAGAAGTCTCGGACCTGCTGTCATCACAGGGCACTGGAAAGCTCACTGGGTATAACTCTTTATTCTGCAAATACAGTACCGTATGCGTATCCGAATTCTCATGCTTTTTACATTTCCAGAATCGAATGCCCGAAATTTGTTTCACATAATCCATGTACAGTATTTTGGTTTTTGCAAAAGGATTACCGAATTTAGATGCGTCTGGATAGATTATCTCGGATGCATCACTGACATCCTGAAGAACATCTGATATTATCAACGTCAACTTCTTTTTTTTTCTAACACGGAGATCACTTGAAAATTTTTTATCGGTTCTAACGTAATCAATATTGTGTTCAAACGAGTTAGCAACTATTTCTTGTGGGGATTCTCATGCTGCCAATGCAACACAAAATTTCCCTCCGTACATAATCTTCTATTTCTTTTCCGACCCCTCATTGTTTCTTCAAGCAATCAGACCGTGAAAATTATTTTTTTTCAATCTTTCACGATGCTTAGATACGAGAAAAGTTGAAGTACGGTACAGTACTTTACTGTACATAAAAAAAATGCTAGTCCACTTTTTCAATTCAGTCGTTACCGCGACACCTGCCGGCCATTCAGTAACGCATCGTTGAGGTGGAAGAATGAGAGCAGTCAGGTGTCGGTATAAGACAACCAAAACAAAAAACAAAAAAGCCCAGGTGAAAATGTAGAAAAAATGATCTTATTGCAAGATGACTGAACCGTATTGATATCCACTTTTGAATATTGAGGTATGTCTGATGGATCATTCGAAAATTCATCCGAAGGATTGTTCAAAATTCTTCAGGAGGCAATCCTGCGTGTATTCACAGCCCACATACTGGCCTCGGAACCATTTCAAAATGCATGTTGACTTGAAAAATGTTTTCAGGTTTACTGGGCGGGTCCGCTCGCGGGTGGAGCGCTAGCCGGACTCCTGTACAGCAACTTGTTCGATGCCAAATACGTCGTCGAACCGGAGAACGAGGACGCGGACACCCCGGCGCCGCTAGCTAGCCCACCAGTAAGAACACAGCAGGCTCCTTACCACCTCCAAGGAATTCATTACCAGCCGGAGGAATCCTACAATTCAAGGCGTATCATCAACAGCTACGATGCGAAGGGAGCCAAATTCTGATCAGAAAAAAAGCTGCCTTCCACGGCGCCTTCGCCTTACTTTTCTGGTTGGTGAAGTTGTTATGTTGAAGCATACGTGCGTTGCACTGCTATTTCATCGAACATTTATTGCTTTGAAATGCATCCCTACATCAAGTCCTTTTCGTGTCCTAGAAAAACTAAGACCAAATGAAAAATCATCGCTGAAGATTCGCTGCAACAAAGGGGCACTTCAGAAAACAAGAAATCGACGAATCCTTCTGAGTCGATCCAATCTGCTGCATGGAAAAAAGGAAACGCGCTTGCCAGTTAAAAAAAAAAATATATTCGCGGATTTTTTTTAAAAGCATCTTGAAGCTGCACAAAAAAATTCTGGTGAGTGGAGACATTTTTTTCGAAAGGGCGAAATTCGCCGAACGCTGGATGACGGATTTATTTCTTGGAGTACTTCAGCTGATTGTTTTATTTTCGTTAACTATTGAATAGGGATGTTATCCCATCAAGATTACCAGAATTGTTCGTTTGTAAAACGATGTACGAGTGGAATCAAGTACCTTGGAAATGAAAGTTTTTGTGGATGAAAAAATGATGTTCCATTTATTCAAAGGTCAACAGAACCAAATGGAAATTTTTCTTCCTCGATCACCACGCAGAGCATCCTTCCTGTTTTTCCTTGATGAACATTTTGTAAACAGTTGCAAATTTGTAAGGGATCCAATGTTTAGAACACGTTTTGAAGAAAGAACAACCAAGAGTTACCGTATAGTTTCAGGGGAAAAAATACATCAGTCAGATGACAACAGAATCCTACCATACTTGAAATCGTGAGAACTTCCAACTGTAGGAACCGGTTAATATTTCATATGAATCCCGATGCATAGGATGAAAAATAAAACACATTATTGTGTGTGGAAATCCATTATACACATCATTTTTCTTTCATTTGATTCACGCACGACAGTCCTACTAATGAATCGCTGTTGCCTTTCGCACAGGCTGGTACAAAAGGAAACCCCTGTACTGTAGGCACATGGTTTGACATTTCTACAGCCCTGTAGACCAGTGTTCCCCAAACTTTTTGGCCCGCGGATTGGCAAATTTCAAAAAGACTTTTGCGGACAGACAATTTCAAAAATAATTACTGCGGACTGGCCGAGTTTCAAAGAAAAATGTCAGACTCAGAAAAGTTTTGTTTCAAAGACTTTATGGCAGGTATTTAAAAAGGTTCTCCTGGTGTTTTTGTGTGTGTGCAAAAATGAAGTCAAGAACAAATGAAGCAGTTACAGTGTCCTTGAAAAATGCCTTCAGGACTCGAACTGTACTAATTTTGAAAAATGTATTCTGCTAAAGAAAAATTTCTGCGGACCGGCAAAAACTTCTGCGGACCGGCTCCGGTCCGCGGACCACGGGTTGGGGAACCTTGCTGCATGGAATGAGTTTACTGTATCAGGTTGGAATGGGCAGGAAAAGTAATGACATCTATTCAGTTGTGTTTAAACTTCGCCTAAGCTAGCTCTGATGGGGTACAAAGCCTCAGCCCAGCGTCGGTTCATTTAACCCACCTCAAAGAATCTTCTCTCGCACGAGCAGAATTCGGCTTGATACACGCTACAGCGTTGCTTACGATATGAGTGGGAGTTTCACATGGCTCGGATCGGATATCTTGCCTTGGTCTCCGAATTCGCCCCATTGTGATTTATGATAACTATTATTGGGGAATGTTCGTGTTACTTGAAGATAGTTTCTCGATCCTACGATCGGAAGCTACCGTATGCTCTTGAAGTTCCGTTGCAATGGAGGACAAGCTTGATTCACGGTCTCCTCACGATTTTTTGCCTGATTCTCATCTAATTTAAGTGAGCTTTTGAAGTCCCTGTGCATAGCTTTGTTCGTTTTTCTCCAGGTCCATCACTGAGTGCCCATGTCGCGTCTCAAGGAGACAGCGTGTGTTCTCTCTGTTTGGTGATCCGCGCGGTGAACGAAAAGTGACAAAATGTCGATGAGAGGACGATTTTCCAAAGATTTAAAAGGTTGCTCGCATTATGTGTCATTGTCATTGAATTTCAGAGACTAAACCAATTCCAAAATTAGAATTTGGGTTAACGAAAATTTCTTGTTCTAGAGGGCGTAAAAGCGTGCCTGGGCAAGAATGTCAAGATCACTTTGCAGGCGTTGGTGAAGATGGAAACGAAAGGAGACAAGACGGAATCCAGAGTATTGGTATGGAAATACAGTACAAAATTCTATATTTTTTTTTATCTGGAAATTTTTCCCGTAGGCATTTTGTGCTTGCCGTCTATTTGTTCTGACGGCGAAAGTCCCAACGAGGGTAAGTGTGAGATCTACGCAAGTTCCTGCCGATTGATTTCATACGTAGTTTTCACAGATTGACTTTCATTTTCACTACCTGGAGATACAAGCCATCGAAAGCAGAAAACCGAACCAGGTTAGTTGAGGTTGCGCTCGATACTCCGTGCGAAACTAATGAAAGCAAAATGATTGTTTCTCAGCTGTCCCTGACGGTTTGTGACAAGGTTTACACATTTTATCCGGCCGAAGATGGTGGCATGGAAGTGGATAATATGATAATCTGTCTTGGTACTCTCGTGAAAACGATTTTCCCCTCTGTACCGTTGGAGTGAGTTTCCGTAATATGTAGCGAATTCTTGTTCTCATAATCATGCTTCATACAGATGTATAATTCGTAAAATTGACGTTCCGAATCGACGAATTCAGCAAATGTATGACCATAATCGACAACTGGAAGAAAAGGATGTTCGTGAGCCAAGTGCTTGTGGAGGCTATTCGATGCAGTACGCTTGTATGTGTGATTACCACGGATTGCCATACAGAGAAGAGGTTGCATGGGTGAGATATTGTCAAATTCATCTCCCAGAATGTATTTTTAAAATTTACGTTTATTTATAGGATGTCGACACAATTTATTTGTCCCACGATTTGAAAGAACTTTCATTGCGGGACTTCGATCATCTTGACCAAAAGTTAGTTCGATCAAAATTTTCATATCTTGATGCTAACATATTTTTGGACTCATTTCGGTGTACGATTGATTTGTGCAGAGACCTGATTCCTATAATATCTGCCCTGGAATATAATACCTGGTTCAAAAAATTCCGTGCGAGTGGACTCCGACTCAATCATGAGTCATTAGACCGTTTGAATGCGGTGCTGCGAAAATCTCTCAGCTTGGAGGAGTTATATCTCGACAATGTGGGGCTGAAAACGTGAGTAAAATCTCTTCTGTGTTGATTTTTCCGATTCTGTGTTTTGGGCCGGAACGCACATTCTTATGTGTTATGAACCCTTTTCTTGTGCCACGTACTTAAAGCATTTTTCGAGATTTGGGGAATCACCTCTGCTGTTGCATTTTTGTGGTTTGATGTTGGTTTTCTACACGAGCTTTACTTCACAGCGATCATATTCAGAAGATATCGCTTGCTATCGGCGAAAATAGCAAGACCGTTCTGCATACCCTCGACCTTTCTCACAACCTGATCGAAGACCGAGGTATTGAAGTTTTCTGCAATGTTCTTTATTTTTGTATATGCTGTGCCGTCCTTTTTTTATTGCAGAAAAGAGGTTATTATTTGTTAGCTAATTAGGTTTCGATTGTGTCCTTTTTTGGCTCGGTGGTTTTGTGTCATGCTTTCTACGAATTCTCGTGAGTTTGCCTCATGTGTCGGATCGTTAAAATTTTGAGTGGCGGTGGGATGCAGTTACTCACTCAAGATGTATGAATTATTGGGCAGAGACTGAAACCCTATTTCGTTAGCTTTAATTCGTTTTACAGAGATTCTGTTGTACTTTCTTGCATTGAATGTGTAACCTTGTGGACAGTCAGTCCCGTGATTTTCATCAATTTAAATTCGTGAGAATGGGATTTCTATGAAACTTTCAATCACGTGCAGACGATAAATCCATTTCTCGATTTTGACGGAACGTGGGTTCCTGTTGTTAATGTCGGATTGTTCTATTTTCTTGAGGTGTGAGTCATCTGGTCGGACCGATTGCCAAACTACCGAAAGGTTTCAAGAAACTGTGTCTGAGTTGCTGTTCTGTTTCACCAAAAGCCATGAATCAAATTTTCCAAGCGCTTACAGCAAATCCTGCTCAACCATGCCCACTAATTCACCTGGATCTGTCAGGGAATGCGCTCAAAGAAGACTGTCCAGTAAGCAATTTCAGGACTCGGGATGTGGAATTATGTAAAACTTCTTTATCTCCTTAGAAAATGTACACCTTTATGGCCCAACCAAACAGCATTACGTTCTTGGATTTATCAGGAACAGAGTGCTCATTGGAAGCAGTGAGTAGTAACGGCGCTCTCGATTAAGTTTGATGCGTAACCGCGTCATTTTTCAATAGATATTTGGAGCATTGTTGCGAGGATGCACTACGAAGCTGAGTTATTTGAATTTATCAAAAAATACCTTCAGTACAAAAAAAGGCCGGGAAATTCCGCCCTCGTTCAAGCAGTTTTTGACTACATCTCTTGCGTTACGTCAGCTTGTGATGGCTTCATGTAAACTGTCTCCCGAAGCCCTGAAGTAAGCTCGTAATGCCTTCTAAATGTATTCATTATCTAAGTGACGATATATGTTTCCCTAGGAACTTGCTTTTGGGTTTAGCTTGCAACGAAAGCACAGTTGGCGTCGATTTAGATATCAGCTCCAATGCTCTTGGATCACCGGGAGCTGGTGTGTTGGAGTCCTGCGCTCATGGAATTAAAAGCTTGCAGGCACTCGATATAAGCGACAATGGTATACAGTACTGTAATTTTCTAAATCGTGCGGTCTCTGGGTGCTCATCTTGATCATGTTTATTGTAGGCATCGAAAGTGATCTGGCTGGTGTGATAGCTTCCGTCAGCAAAAACAAGTCTGTGAAGCGTCTCAATATTGGACGTAATTTGTCTGGAGCGAAGTCTAAGCATATCGTTCTGGTCATGGATGCCGTGGTTCAGATGATCCAGGTTCTTTCAACTTTCATTGCGAAAGTTTTACGCCTTCGCAAAATATATATATATATATATATTATTATTTTTTTTTTCGAAGGATGATGATTGTGTTTTGGAAAGCCTTTCGGTTGCAGACTCGAAGTTGAAATCGGATATTTCCCGATTAATCAACGCGCTTGGAGGGAATCATTGCTTGTGCGAAATAGACTTGAGGTAATATTTGGTTTATTATTCGACGCTTCCATTTTTCACGTTGTCAGTGTCTTTCAGTGGCAACTTCATGGGCGATTCTGGCGCTCGCTTGCTTGCGAAGGCTCTACAGATTAACAGTAAACTTCGCTCCGTTGCGTATGATCGTAATGGTATCGGGCTTCAAGGATTTCAGGATATTGCTTCCGCCCTGGAAAGGTTCGATTGTGCTGAAAGTTGTCATCAATTGTCGATTCCGGTTTTCACGTCCTTCGCATTCTCAGCAATTATTCGTTGAAATCGATGCCATTTCCAATCCATGATGTGATGACATGCCTGAAAGCTGCTCCGGATAAAACTGAAGCTGTGATGAAACGTATCCAGGATCTTCTGCAGCGAAATGTTTCACCGAAGAAGTACTCCAATGGACAGGCATTCCGACTTCAACAAGTTCGTTGTACATTTTTGATTGAATATAAAACATTTTTCCATTGTTCTGTATTTTCAGGGCTTCCTTATGAGTTCAACCCAGCAGATGGTTGATAAGCTGGTCATTCAAACTCAAGATACAATCCGGATTCTGCGCCAGCAGGGTGATAGCGCTATTTCGCCGGAAATAGAGAACGCAGAACATTTGATCTGCGATGCTGATAATTCCAAGCAGGTGACGGGATTTTAATTTTTATTAGAAGTACAGTATGAGATCCTGCGGTAAACGTCTCTTTCTTCTGGTTAGTACGTAATATTGTGTTAGTCGCAGTGTAATTTTGAAATCACCTCGTTTCCTTCAGGAGGTTCGAAGTCCATGTGCACTTGTAGTCGCTTATGGATTTAGAAATTCTTAACGTGCAAATTTGAAACAATGGGTGCGAATATATTATTTTCCCGAGTTAATTATTGATGTATTTACGGTTTCAGCTTCTAACTCGCCTTCATGAAGTTGTTCTTGAAAAAGAAGAAGGTGGCAATCCTGTGACGCTCAAATTGAAATCTCTATCGGATGAGCTGCAAAGCACTATAATGAAGTATCTAAAGGTTGGTCAACTATCCGCTTTCGTTGCATCGGGTGTTTCTACGGCGATGCTGTTCCACAGGACACCGTCGATAGTATGGTGCAGTGTGCGGTTGAGCAGTGTCCACGTGTGCTTGGAGACGAAGCTGTTAAAAAGGAATTGCGTAAATCGTGTGAAAAAAAGTGCTCTTTTTGTAGTAACATCGTGCAAGGAGCGATTGTGGAACAAGCGGGGACGGATATTGTCAATAAAATCAGGTTAGTTTTCTTCGAAATATTTCGATATATCAAGTGCCTTAGTCTTCGGATGAAATCGGGACTTCTTACGATATAGTAAACGTCTCGAGTTACCCGTTTAGGTAATTTTGGCTGCGATTCAATCATATTTTGATAATTACGATGCTAGAAACAGAACAGTTTCCATCATCCTGCCTGAAAAGGAATTTCGTCACGTCATTTAAAAAGAAACCAAGGATAGTGGGTAATTACTTCCTTCTACGAATGCCAAATTTTGTTTGCTCTCAGTCAATAAATGTGTTCCTCTGTTTTCCGAATTTCTGTGATGTTCAACTTTCGAGTTGAATTCACTAGCTGCAAAAATTCAGAAGCTGCAATTTCTCACGAAGTGTAGCGACATTTTTTCTGTTCAAGTGTAGGACGGAATATTTTTTGGCAGACAGTGAGTTCCCTGAGGGTCTTTCCACGTTTTCCGAATTTTCCCGCCATCATGAGTTGTGATGCATTTTTTCCGTGTGCGTGCCGCGAGTTTCTCTAATTCATTGGACTATTCTAGTTATTATCGCTGCAATTGAGTAATGAGCAACACATTGCATTAGCGAGGATGCTTGGAGCGAGCGTAAAATATTCTTATTCGCGCATAGTGATGTGCTGTATTACCGAGATTCCTTGAAGCGTGCTTGCAAGCAAGGGTTGCGTCAATAATTCTTGCCTCACTTCTGTGGTAGCCGCCGTTCTCCCAAATTCTTAGTTTCGAACAGAAATTCAAATATTTTTTGTTCATGCATTGCGACGGATTGCGAGGCTGCTAGATTTTCGAAACTTGTAAGTTTTTCTCGAAGAAATACTTTCTCGGGACGATTTTTCTGATGGTTTGCGGTTTCATTGAAAAGTTCTAGAATATCTCCTGCCTGTACACTTCAGCAAATCTGAAAGTGTGCGGCACACTATATAACTTTTCATGTATTCTCGGCGGCAACGTGTCGCTTCGTTTTCCACCATCTCTTATGTGTGGAGTCTGGAAGTGTAGGATGGAAAACATAAAATTGAATTAGAGCTTGATCATTTCTGAAGAGGAAAGCTACCTATAATTCTCAGTGAACGTGTTTTGTGCTTTTTTCGCATGTTGAAAAAATGCTGGACTGGGTTCAAACGGAAATCAGAAGTAGTGGATACCTATTTATCTGGGAATATGAATAGAACTGAAAAAAAAACTTTCCCTTGTTCGCGTTTGTCAAGCAACAAGCTCATAGAATTGCTTCGAATGATTTAACTTTGTTACCAGTTACCGTAAATTTGCCATCGCGTCTGCTTTCGCGCATCATTGGAGTCCTGCAAGTTGGGTCGTGCTCGTCTTGACACACTGGACTACTCGAGTACTGTAAAATCCTCACGAAATTCGCCCTTGTCGCTTGATGCTTTTATATTCGCCGGAGCATGACGGAAGCAGATTTTATTTTGCCCTTTTGATCGGCTGTTCTATTTCGCTTTTCAACGTTCAACGTCGTTATTACTCATTGTTTTATTTTGATCAGCAAAATGTATACGTGAGAACGCTAGCGAAAAGGACCTTCCGCGGATGCGCGTGGGAGTTCCTCCGCAGCGCTTGGATGATGCATTTTTAAATCCAGTTTCTTCCTTGTGGTGATGTTCGATTTCACTTTTATTTTTCTGCAGCGAAATAAATCTGGCTGTGGCTGCGCATGTGTCGGATCGAATAATCGATGAAGTTATCGAGTCGCTTTCCAAGTCGTACAAGTCATTGGTGAGTTATATCTTTCTCGCTCTTGGCGTGAATTGAATCCCCAACTCTGGCCCATCCGTAGTGCATTGCGAAACCCTTCGTGCAGATTTAATTTCTCATCACTAGAAGTAACATTTCCCCAGTGTGAACAGAACGCCATTTTTTTACTTGAATGCGCCTATATTTTTAAGCCTCGACTGTATTTTTTCATTGATTACTGACGACAAAAATTGATTTAAGATTGATTTAAGACGCATGCTTCTGTAGAAAATTTTGGTTTCTCTCTAATAGTGAGTTTTTTTGAACTAGCCTTGGAATCCTGTATTGTGTTCGAGTTTCTTTTATCGCTTCCTGTTTTTGTTTTGCGTTCGTTTCGTCAGCATGCTGGTGTGGATGACTTGACAGACGTTACTCGCACCAGGAGATCTGGTAGTGCTGCATCGACAGGAAGCAGCAATCAGCTCGGTTTTCCAAATTTTTCACCGTTGAATGGTAGTGGCTCATCTCAGTCCAATATCATGGGTTCGATACTCGGAAGAGTTCCGAATAATGCAGACATATCCCCTGGGGTGAGGCTTTGAAAATCCATTTTTGCTTATGTCACGAATGCCCCGTACCATTTGTGAGATTTCATAAGTGTTCAGTAAACGTTAGTCTATTGTGGCAGTGACGATACAATTTGGCAGATGGAGATTTTCCTGTTTGGAATCGAATGTGCGTCTAAGTATCAGTAAAGGGATCGGAGAACGAATCAGCGAAAAAGGTCAACGCCATGAAGTTCATTCATAATGAAATTAACTGGATTGAAATCTGAAGTTTACGAGCTCCGTTCGCCACAAAATCTACTGTGTTTTCTTTGTAAGAACTTGTTTTGACTCTGGAATCTATTTACAATATCTTGATTGATTTTCCGTGGAAAGACGGAAGCGAGAACAAATTTTAGCTTTTTGTCTTAATGCATTTGCTCTATTGCAATCCCTTTTGTGTTGTCCGCGTTGTAAGAGAGACTGTTTTCATCGATTTTCGTCAAGTAGAGTACATTTGTCTTTTTTTCACGAACTTTAAATCGTATCTCAACGTCATCAGTGTTGCCAAATTATTGTGTGCGTGCTCGACCAAAAAATAATTTTCATTGTTTACTGCTGAGTTCCTATTGCCGAAGATTGTCCAATATGTATCTAAATTCATGTGATCATACGCCTGTTTAGCCCATCCCTAGCAAATTTTTTGAATTATCAACATATTTGTTTTAGATTTTTTTTTGTATTTTTCATTTTTTCTCGAATCTCGTTTTGTCTATACTTGAAGTCATGATCTGTCAGACATCAATGCGCATGGAATTTTTTTTGTTAATCTGTTGGGTGCGCATCAAATTTTGGGCTGCTGGCGATTATTTCCGTAATAAGGCTCTTGATGCTGTATCTGCAAGTATCGTTCAGTCTTCTGCCTTGACAGCGCTGTTGCAAACACTTACATTTAGGACTTACGTCGTATGGATGTACAGTATTTTAACTCTATTCGGAAGCATGGTGGAGTTGGGAATGACGTATAAGCACATTCCGTTTAATCTTCCTTTGCTTGCTGTGATGAATTAGATCAGAAGCTCAACTACAATATTGCGTAATCAAAAGCATAGCGAGAATATGTTGAATGAACACGTGTTATGCAGGCAAGACTTTTGCATACTAATTTTATTTCCATTTTATTCGTAATAGTGAAGTCTATAATCAAGTGTACAGTCAACGTACGAACCGTGATGATTTTTCGCATTCTCTGAAAGTGGAGGATGCCTAAAAATGTTATTAAAATTATCTATCCAGGCGACGCCACCACTTTCTTCCAAGCGCCGAAGTCTGCATGGGAGGAAGCTCAGGCCGGTGTCAGTTGTTGGTGAGTAAGCATTTCATATGAAGTTCAAGCATGTACTCAAGGTATAGTCCTGCATCTTGTGGTTCGAAGTGGTTGACTTAGTGATTCCGAAACGTTGTTTCCGTATCTATGGATGCCCGATTATTTCCGTTTCACCAGATGTCGTGGAAGGAATAAATGCTGACGCCTTACCGGTTCGTCTGCCACCGATGTCGCCTGAAGAATCAGATGGTAGGAATTAAACTCAGCACTTCCGATAAAATTTGGTCATTTCATGAAGACGGGATCAAATACCAGCTCGAAACGAATTTTTCTCTGCGAGAAGACCTTGTTTCCAAAGTTTCACGGGAATGCTTTTCCAATGGAATGTGTATCTGTCCTCTGAGGCTGCCCCATGGCATTTTTCGAACTTCACTTCTTCAATTTTAGACTTAGCTAAGACTTGCAAGAATGATTTTTGTGGTAGTTGCCATTTGTCTGCATCACATGTTTTGAGTTTGTCTGTGTCTCGAAAAGTATTGAGCATGTTAGTTCGGGTAGATCAATCGGGAACCGTGACATAGCTATTTTCCATGTTCTTCGTCGGAAATGTGTTGCCATGCAATTCTACTGGTTTGAAAGAATTGGAATTCTTTCAATTTAAAATTGTTCTTTCGTTTTCAAGTAATTTTAGAAATGACCATGGTGATGAAAATATTTCCGCAGTTTCGTTTAGGTAGCGTCGCTTTGTTACGCTGACTTTTTTAATGTCTCCTCTGTGAAATTCAGAGAGTTTGGATACGGTTGGCGAACTTCCATCCAATGGCAGTCAATTGCAACATCTTGGAAAAGCCCGCCCGAAGAGATTAAAAACCAAGGCTCCCACGAGACCCTCAGTCCGAAGTTCCTATTCTGACGCCGACCGCGAAGAGCAAGAATTGCAAGAAGGTCTTGATGATTTTTTTGGTTCGACTGGCTCCGCTCCGAATTCCCCAATGTCTTCCCCGACAATGGACGACAGGTAAGAGTTTGGTGTCGCACGTGGTGCTGTATGCTGCTCAAAGTTCGTTTTCCTGTTCGATAATCATGGAATTTTTCATATTAGCCCACGCCTTGTCAAGTCAACGTCGAATTCCGTGGACAGCAGTCCAACTCATGCTGTCTTGTCTCACCAAGCTCGTAGTTCCGGAACGGCTGAACCCAGGCGCAGTGATGCAAGTAGTGATGCAAGCGAGCACAATTTTTCGCGAAAAGGCTCTGAAAAGCAAGGGAAAGCCGAAAAGAAAGAAAAGACGTACGTCCACTTCTCTCGAGTCATAGCAATTTCTATAATTTTCTTACGGTGTCCATTCCAGAACTTCGCTTATGGTAAAAGGGATATCCAGCGTCTTCAGCAAAATGGCGGCCGATAAAGTTACGAAGTCAAAAGACAAAGATAAAGCGGATGCGAGTATCAGCAGTTCCTGTAGCAGTCGAGCAGAAAAATCGCCATCCTTGTCGCGTCGAAGCGAAGCATCCTCGCCAATCGGGATGGATAAAATAGCCATGTCTGGAGGCTCCATCTCTATTTCATCTTATGATGAAAGTTAGATGAACTGAAGTCTTGTTGAGAGAGCGTGATTTTGTACCGATTCAATTGATCAACAGGCGACACCTTGTCACAGGCCAGTGACGCCACACTCGAAGGAGGCGGTCCGCCAAGTGAAGGTGAGTCACCGGACGGATCCTTGAGAGAATGGAGCGAGCCGAGGATGAGAAAGCAAGCTGGTGGAGTTCCAAGGATGGGCCTTGGGGTGAATATTCTTGCCGAAATGAAAGCACTTCAGGAGAAGCGAGCGTCCGCCATGTACACCAGCAAATCTGTCAGTTTGCTTTTTGTCTTTCAATTTTTTTCTAGTTACGTGAAATTCAAATTTGTTTGCAGGGTGATGATTTTGGCTTCGAAGATAAGAAGAAAGAAGAGAAAGGAAACGCGTCTCCTGTTTTGCTTTCGTCCGTCAAGTTGCGCTCAACGGGTCTCGCTGATTCTTTGAAGTCACCTACAAATGGCTTTCCGAAAACGGGTGCTGACGTTGCGGCAGGTGGAACCGCGACCACGGGCAGTTCCATTTTCAAAAGTTCTCCGAAGAATATCGATCCTGGTATGAATTCGTGGCGTTTTATTCGATGATGCTTGAGATTGATAACATAGTCGTTCGGTTTATTGTTATTCTTTCCACTTCATTATTCTAAAAATGAAGGACTTGGTCAAGCAATCAAACCGACGCCAAATTCCAAGCCTAAGCCACCGCCGCCGATTGCACCGAAGCCAAGACCGAAATCCATGGCCGGTCTTGATGCGTCTAGATCGAGTATGCTTCTTGAGGTTTCTGTCAAAGTCGTTTTCCTCACTACGCCGTTTTTTCTGAAGGTGACATGAGTGACGCGTCTGAACCGAATACTCCGGAATCGGGGGAAACGCTTGACGATAAGCTAGATTCCGGGTCGATCTCGAATCCCATGGATTTGCGGTCTCGTCCCACTTCTGTTGGAGGAGCAGCTCTAGGTTGCTTCCCAACGACGCTTCCTTCCCATCCGCACGATTTTGGGTCGACGGCACTTATTGGGGCTACTGCATTGACAGGAAAACGGAAGCAAAATTCTGTTCCTCCTTTACAACCATTACCAACAAGCGGACGCTCTGCGTCGCCTAATCGTAGTGAGTACTTCTCTGGCGATAACGATAATTCCGTGACACCAAAAGCGACCGCTGGATAAGCGTTTTTTGCAGTTTCCTGCTGAGCTACTGGCAGGGGAAAAACGCATTCTATTTTCCAATTTTGAAGGTGGTTTATTTTTGAATCTAGGCTGAACTTCGATATAATTGGAAGAACAAGAAATAATCTAAAAAGTAAGAATTTCGCTTTTGTAATGTATTGCGTATTACAGCGTATTTCGTGTAAATTGTATGGAATAATATACCGTATTGAAAATTCTTTCATGGGAAGGACTTCGCTAGAAGTGTTGCAAGTTACCCCCGAATAATCAATTGCATACGAAAACTGGTTGATAATTCTATATTAATCTTAGTAGAAAAAAATCTGAATTTATTTTTTAGTCGTGCGACCGTGGATAATGAGGAAACAAATTATCTTATGTTAATTTATTGGGAGTAGCTTGAGGCTCCTAAAAGAATCTGGAAAGATTCCTTTGCTTCTTTTCTGGTGTTGTATCAACGTGGGTAATTATCGTGCGAATTCGCTCAAACAGCTTCAAGGATCCTCAAGAATGCTTTATTTGTCGTTCAATTAACAGTTGCCGCAGTCTATCTGGGGTTAATCTCTTGACGCTAGAAATTTTAAATCTTGTGAAAACTATCGAGATATGTGGGTCTTGATTTCCGATTTTTCAATTCTTCTGCCCCTCCCTTGGATAAGAACTGCCCAAGAAAACTTTTAATTAATTAATTTCGTTTTGTCCGAGTTTCTTTCTTTTTAAGGGTCCAGAATTTTTCATCATCTGTATTAATTGTATCGTTTGTATTGAATTAAATAAAATCTGGATACTGTGCTAAGTAAATTGATGAAATAGATTCTACTGCTTCCATCATTTGATGTGATCGACCACAAATTTATGTTCAAGTCGATAGTATTTCAAAATATCCCCTTAAATGTATGAATTGGTTGTGTTATGCGGAAATTTTTACGTTGTTAAGGGATTTATTTTTCGACTTCGATATCCCAAAATATATGGCATCATGGACGTTCGTCGCCAATCCTAGATCTAGAAAGTCGAATAAAATTTTGCATCGCAGTTTAGCTCACATCTTCCTCAAAATGATCCTAAAAATATATTCGGCGAGCTTCATTGCTCATGCGGATTTGTGAATTTGGATTGCTTGTCGTGTGCTTCGTTGTTCGCACCTAGAATTATTTTTTCGCTATTCACAAGCCTGGGGGGCATTTATCTGAGCTCCTGTAATCGTATTACAGGAATAGGACAGGCTGCCGAAGGAAGTGATAATCCGATGTCAGGCAGAATCCCTGCTAGACGATTATCCAGTGCAGAGTTCGAGGTAGACTTTTGAATTTTTTTCTAACCATGCCTCGTGATCTTCGGATCCTCAACTGCTAACGCGCACAGATAAGGCTGGGTACTTCTTGCTTGCTGCTGATGCGGTGGTTTTCACAGGGAGTATAATGGAGCAGGGATTAGTTTTTAGAAATATGGTATTTCTGATGTTCTACCGTAACTAATCTGGTTCCGGGATTAGGAACGCACCGCTAGCTGCTGCTTCGCACATATCTTGGTCTGCGCAATATCAATGAAGCTGAATGGCGAATCTTCTCAGCCCTTGAACTTGTTACATATAACTTTTCGAATTTCTCAGCCCTTGAACTTTTTCCATGTAACTTTTCGAATGGAACAGGGGCACAGAAAATGAAAAGCCGAGAATCCACGCTACGTTTCGTAAGCAGCAGCATTTTTAAAAATCTAATTTTGATGAGGTAGATTGAATATTCTTCGCGCCACTCAGCCATTGATATCGTGTAGGTGTGGAAACATGGCCATTTGTCGTCTTCTGTTGTGATTGCGCACGATTGATTTTCGATTTTCAATTGATTTTTCTGCCAGGAATTGAAGGAAACATCAGTTGATGACATGAAAGGCGAACTTTTTGGAAGCGACGATGAGAAAGTGAGTGAAAAAGCGATCGCCTTCTTGAGACAACCATCCACCCCTGGTCCCGCACCGCCTTCTGTGACTCAAGAAGACCTGATCCTTGATGATGTGGTCAATGTCTGAAGACGTGCTTCTCTTCGATTGGAATTTTTCCCACCAAACGCATGAATATGGCGTCGCTAATTTAGGGTCAGCCATCGCAATCCGTGGTGTTATACATTATCTCCGATTTCTGTTTTTCCATTCCAAAGCGTGTTGAGCTTTAATCGTCTATTAATGCCATTTGTTTGGGACTCCTGACGCCTTCGTAATTTGGTGCAGCTCTTGAAATCTTATTCCGTTTTCAAATGTTTCCTCGCGCACTGTCATAATTCCGGTTGAAGAGTCCCAAGTCTTGTCGGGTGTCCTTATACGAGTTGGGTCATCCCATCTTGGTTTCAAGGTGGGTAACGGGAGAAGAATGCAAGTTCAGCGTGCATTCGTTGAGCAAAGCGTCTCAGCCTCCGGGTGATTAAATGATTACCAACCGGGCTGGGCAACCTATGTATCTCACCGTTCTCAGAATGCGAGGCGTTGAGTTTTTGTGATAGTCCGAACAAAAGTTTTGTTCAAATCTTTTCAACGAGCGACATAACGAAGTGAGGAATCGAAAACAATTCCTCAATTATGCGAACATGAAATTTCTGTCCTGGAATTATGAGATTATAATTGTAATTTATTATTCCGCCTGGAACTTCGTGTGATTTTGAGATGCCTATGTTGCATTGAAGTTCATTCGTTCATACATGGAAAGGCAGCAATTTTTTTTTTGCTTAAGCTTGCATCTCAACGGAAACCTTCGGATTTGAATTTTGGTTTTTACCACTCATTGCTTCGCCGTGCCATGGCTCGAAGGGTTATTACGAAGTTTGAGCCAGAATTATTTTCGTACCTAGCTGCCAGTTGGTGCCACTGGTATTTGCTTTTCTTGACCTCATGCGTAACAAAACGCTATCGAAGGGTTTTTTCATTCGATCGACCTGCTCTTGTCATCGCGAAGTGGACTGAAATCAACGTTTGTGGCATTGTTTCAAGATTACCTCGCAAGTCTCACGATCAGCATAACGGCGCGGCTTCGTGGAACCGCGATTTGTGAATAGCCAAGTGCCAGTTGTTCGTGGTGACGTTTTCGGTCCGACCTTGCAGGATTCTTGCTCTGTCCCAGAAAAAGCGTAGACATCCGCTCACAAGGTAGTGCGTCTCAATTGAGGTGGCAATCATTTTGGGTCCGTTGACGTTCCCTCGATTGTTACCACTGCCGCGTTGCGACTGGCTCGCGGTGTTTTTGCATTTTCTTTGCTATTTGGAATTCCATGGTGCTTTTGAGACAAAGTTGTTTGACACCTCCTATTTATTTCGTGTTGCTATTGTGCGTGATTGTAGCTCATTCGAAGCTGTGTCGTTGCAATTATGTCGGGGTATACAGCGCTTAGGTTTCGTTTCCTTTTATTATTCGGGGTGTGGGTGAGTCCGAACTCGATTCTCATCTGAGCTTATGCTTGGCGCTGACATTGGAAATCGCGTATCCCTCTTGCTTTTCGTATCTACTCGTCAGTATTTGGTCGTCGTGGTGAAGCTCTAAATTCGCGATTATGCTTCCGTTTTTGTTGGATGAGTGCTTGTTCCACATTCCATCATCTATGTCAAGTTGGGAGTTACGTAAAAATTACTTTTTTTATAGTGAGATCAGATGACGAGTAAGAATGAAACAAAAACTTTATATGGTGAGATACGTGTTTTCTTCAAAGTACCAATATACTCGTATACTTGATCGCAGGGCGCACCTATATTTTGGGCCGCGCCATTCCGGCGGAAAATCCAGTGGGAAAAAAATTGGCAATGCTTAAAGGGTTACAACCGGATCATCTACGCACGATATACAGTAGTACACAGTAAATTCCTTGATCTGTAAGAAGATGTATGAGAACTACAGTAGAATGATGAAAAGATAACATCTGTTCGGTCGAATTTTATGCACTACTGAAAGAACGAATCGCGTTGGAACATAACTTACTGTTGATTTTCATGTGCAAACGTTGTCTGCCTCATTTTCCCCTGATAATTTACAGTACTATATTTCGATTGCTATAATTGCGAATGCCTTTCCATCATGACGTTTCATTATGGACTACGTGCCACAGTGGAGATTTCAAGTACCGCATTTGCACGAGTACTGTACTACGCTTCCTCGAGTGAGACGTGCACCAGGGGTTTTCAGTTAAAATTTCTTTAAAATTGTATCCCGTAGTACGATGCGCACCCCATTTCAGCGACTCTAAAACTGAAAGATTTCAAAAATGAGAGCAACTAAATTTGTAATTACAAACATGAATTGATCCTGAATTCAATTAATTTAAAATTTTTCCCATTAAAATTATTCTTTTTGCTAGGAATGATCCAAAATTTCCATTAGAATCGAATACTGTACTGTATAATGCGCACGTGAACTTCTAAAACTTCTTCAAAAATGTACACGCGCACCCCATTTTTTCTTTTCCATTTTGAGAAAAAAGGTGAGCGTCATACTCGATTAAATACCGTATATTCTATGTAAAATATTTGGAAGGGGGAAAAACATCCTAAAATTGCGTGATACTGTACCTGGATCTTTCGCACCCCTCTGGCAGCGGACGGAAATCCGCGAGGCGGAGTATCAAACCTGGCTATATTGTCGTTGAAAACATTTGACCACAGAGTTGTATTTTGTAGCCTCCAGGAGTTAAGTCTGAAAATTAGATTGAATTTTAAAGCGAGTGTTATTTTTTTTAAATAAGTTGTGAAGAATTTTCTGCATCAACCGACGAACTCGTTTCCATTTTGTACGGATTCCCGTTGAAATGCACGGAGTTATCCCGAGACGTTGGGAACGATTGATGTTCTCTCCGCAACGATTTCCCGAGTGCGAAAGCTTTGAACTTGGATACTGTACTCTCCGGAAAAAATGGAAAGTTTTATGCGGGAAAGACGTTATTCGAAAGAAACCGAGCGATCTGGGGCCCCATTACAAAACCTTGTAACAGGAGGTCCAGCGCAATAAAGCGATTCATCACAGCTGATAGCCTCATCTTTCAGCTACGCTTGCTTTTGATTTTGACGTGAGATCAGTTAGTGCGACTAGGGAAATGTTTTAGTCGTTGCCCGGGGCCTCATAAAGTTCGACATTCAGGAATGCGGGCCATTATATTATTGCCCGTGCAGTATGCTGGCTCAAATTTAACGTTTTCATGGATGGATTACTCCGTGTTTCAGATTCTCGGATTTTATGCGTCGTGATTCAAGAACATCAAAAGAAGCTGGTGGTTCACATTCAATTTTGAGCGAGACGAGAACGCAGTTTTGAAATTTGATACTAGCCCAAAATTTGGTCATGCGTGCAATTAATTTATAAGAAATAATCGCTCGGATGAGAGCAAATTTGGGCGACTTGTGAATGATGCAGAGCGTGGTTGTTTCCGATTTCGGCTCAAATTGAATTATTGCGAAGAAAATGAGGATAGTTCAGAATCTTCAGCATATCAAAATGATCCGATCAAGTTGAAAGAACTTAGTTCTTCGCTGACAGCAAACATTAAATAAAACATATAAAAATCCAAGTTGTTTAAGGAACACTGCTGACAGTTTGAAGCTGTACAGGTACTTCACGAAAAAATAGTCCGTCTCTTGAATTTTGTTGTAGAGAGCGTCTACCTTAGATGAATGCCCTGAGTGAGGAGGAAGAATAACTGAAGCACGAGAATAAGGAGAATAACGCTGGTGAAGTAAGAATGTAAAGAGGTCTGGAACAAAAAGAGCCAGAGCAACTCGCAAAACCGAAGGAGTATACGCCGTACTATCCGATAAACATCCTGCAAAAAGAAAACTTGAGTATCCCAACAAAATCAATGTGCAAATATTTTAATTTTGCCCCGAAGACCCCAAGGGGTTTCCGCACACACTTCCGCGGTGCTTCACGGTTTCCCCAGGCGTAATGAAAGAAATAAAAGCAAAATATAATTTCTGACAAGACTTAGGGTCAACAAAAGTGGACAGCAATAAGAACTTATTTGTCTGTAATTTCACTTATCCAGTTAATGATCAACCAAGCAAACGGGTTGTTTCAAAATTGTGGAGTCCGAAGTTATCTGCAACTTATTGGATAAGCTGGAGCTCCGCAATGAAAATTATTGTAATTTTATGAAGGAACCCAACGTAGAAATGTATTGTGCAGTACTTCAAAAATCTTCATGAGTTAAGAGATTGAGAATCGACGCCCAGTTTTTTGAGCTGACTGCAAAACCATGTTGCCAGGCTGATAGACCCTCCATCAATATGATTACTTTCAATAATTATAAGAAAATTATGCTGAAGTAGATTCATGGTTCAAACTGTAAGGGAAGATATAGGCGAGCAAGGTGTGATACGCCGAAGAAGTTTGAAAATTCAGCATCGGACTTCGGAACCCTACTAAAAAATACAGATCGAAGTTCCGTTCATTTCGTCATCGGCGAATGTTTCCATCGTTCTTATACAGTTCCATCATCAGATCCAAATCAACATTGCGCGTGAATCTGCCCCAATCTGCGTTTGTTTTCGCACCGCTGGAGGGAAACTGAGTTCCGGTATCAGCATTGTGTTGTGCAGAATGGGTAATGATGCGGGTTGGTGCGGAATTATTGTTAGAAAATTACGCAGTGACCTCACGAGCAACGGGGGTAATCAGATGAAGACCAAATTGGTTCGGGTTGAAGAACCCCCGTTGCTCGCGGGGGTGATCCGCGAATCCCCCGGACGAGGATATATGCCCCCCGACACGGACCCAGATGCGAAACACGACGGATGCTCGCTCCCGTACATAAACAATTTCCGGGAAATGCTGAGATGAGGACGGAAACTGATGAGCAATTTGGGAGGCATAGCGGGCCTAGAACTTCCCCGGTAACGAGGGGCCAGTCGTGCATGAGAGGAAATTTCTCGCCCGCTTTCCTGCCAAGTGGGAAAGCCTCGACGACGATTGCATAATCTGCGTGGGGCCATATCCTTGACATCCAGAGCGGAATAAGTGAAGCGACTTGAAAATGACGGACCTAGGCCGCGCGGGAGCAGCAACAAGACGAGCAGTCGTGTTTCTCTTGGTGTACAGCACAGTACAGTATATATTTTTCTCCCTCATGCCGAACGCTGCTGTCCGGCGTTATTGGGACTGACGTGCGGCGAGGGTTCTTCCAATAAACCGAATGGGGTGACATGGGGGCGGGGGAATTGAAGCAAGCAATGAACAACGGATTCCAATCAAGGAATTTTCCTGTGGCCCTCAATGTCACCCCTTCGCGATGCTCGAGTGTGTGCCGAGGCTGCAATGAACTGATCCATATTCAAGCGGGACAGTTGCTCGGCCCGAGCGTCATTTTGACGGCGAACCCCGTGAAGCAAGGGGAATTTGCCTCTCGACACCCCGCAGCTTATTAGAATGACTGCAATAACCGCGCACATCCGTCATCCCACGGCTTCTCCTATTCTACACTTTTCGTGACTCCACGTTTTCCTCCGACTGCGAAGAATTATAATTTGAAGAAACTCCCCATAAATGATTGACATTCGCGACACGGAGATTTTCCCTAATTCACCAATTAGGATCATAGATGACCTGGCATCCTAATATATGTCGAACTATGGAAAAGCCGAATCCCATTCCGGCCATCGCAAAAAATTCAAAACTCGCCGAGTTTTTGCCATTTTAATTTGGACGTCATTCGGCATATCTTTCTTGCAGTTTTCCATGAGATCTTCTCCGAATTTTCTTGGACTCGCATACTTTTCGCCCTGAGAGGCAAACTTGAAAGAAAAGATAGATAAATCTTCACTCCGCTGTAGAAGTTGGATACCTGGGATACAGCTTACAGTACATGATACAATAATATTTTAGTCCTCATATAATCTTAGAAAGAAATCCAAATGAAAAGGAAAAGATTTGCGTTCTGGAGACATGCATCCAACTTGACATGATTTGCGTCATCATTTACGAGGACGCCCCTTCGCCCAAAATTTCGGCATGAAAAAATTGGATACCTGTCTTAAACATCAGTCAAATTGCGTGAGTTTATGCAATTTTCAAAAACATTTCTCTTCGTAAAATGCACGATACCCGTCTTACAAAGTATGGCACATGCAGTGAAATCCTGCTTTTATGGTGTATGACTCAGTGCATGAAAAAAAACACGAGTTATCCGGTTCAAGTTTTCAAAATAAGAATATTTACAACATATGGTTAAACAGAGTTGAAAAAATTGCAGGAAATAGGTAAGAGGGTTTCAAGAACGGCCTAACTTATTGATGCAAACAATTCCCAAAAAAATATTGGTGTACCAGCTGAGTTAACTGCAGTCCATCATATTGGAGAAAAGCCGCTCAAAAGTTTAAAATCACTAGGAACGCTTTGCTTATTCTTTGGAGGAACCAAGAGTTTGGCACGTTATGTCATCAGTGCCAAACGGAATCTTTGTGAATTAACAAATATCGTTAATCAATTTTCACTCACTTAAAATTATACTGTACAGTATGAAGTTGCCGTTTTATTCCCATGCCGCTTCCGCGTTTGTATAAAGCGGCTGATGCGTTAGTTCAACTATATAGGCTCGATTTGAGTCATAGCGAAATATTATTGATAACGTGTATTGCGTTTGGGAAAGGACTCTAGGGATCAGCAACCCGCGTGTTTCATTAAGACATTTTTAATCCTCAAAGTCACTTTAAGAG